CTCCACCTTCGTCGGACATCATGAAATCCACTACCAGTATTGTCAATATCACCACAGCTCCACCACCACCGCCGACTCCCTCCACCAAGGGGATGGACCAATCAGAGACCATTGAGACGCCGCCAAATCCCACCAATGAGAGACCATCTACATCCTATCCCTCCACCGCTGCTACCGACTAATCGGAGACCCTACCGGCCCCTGCGACTAAACTTACATTCCACTCTACGCCCGGTGTCACATTCTATACCGCGAAACAATATAACAACGCAATGCTTGTAAAAAAACTCGTCCAACGACTCCAGAATGAGTGTGTCAAGTTCACCTGCAGCGAAGAACCACCCCTTACCCTAGACAACATAATCCCCCACCTCAACACACAGGGACCTAATCCCGCAATCTCATTCAAAGTGCGGCACCTCACAAGAACGAAGTTCAACACTCTTTCCATTGGTTCAATTGATTAAGAAGCTCCCACCGACCAAGCTGAAGTCCCCCAGCACTTTGCTAATGCTAAAGCAAGAGAAGGCAGGAAGGGCCTTCTCGGCCCTTCCTGCCGTCTCTTGCCTGCCTCCTGCCGTACACCCTCACTTTCATCGACAGCTGCCCAGCGCTGATTCCAGCAATCCTCACATATCGACATTGGCACCTGTACAAGTTGCCCAAAGTGGACAGGAGACTTACCTTTATATTCCCTCCTCCTCCACCATCAAAACCCTTTCCCATATATCCATCCTTTCCCATCTTACCAAAGCTCTGGCCATACCTCCTCCTTCTCCTCCTCCTGTCTCTCTCTCTCTCTCTCTCTCTCTCTCTCTCTTTCTCTCCTTTCCTCCTTTGTTGTGTATGAAGTGCGCGTTTCAAGGGAAATAAAGTAATATCCTCTGTAGAACTCAGTTGTTTTCAGCACACGAATATAAAGTTGTCTTTTTTCACAAGGCAAAAATCTGGGGAACGTGATCTGCAGGCACTTCTTTCATTTTCGCTTATTTTTATATTTTCCTTTAAGATTTTTTAATGGTTTAAAATTGTTGTGTCCGTATTCAAAGACCATGAATTTTTGGGTGATACTAGGATAAGCTGATTTCAGGGTACTCGATGGACCAAAATGCGTAATCTCTTTACAAACAATGGGTTAATTTTTTTTTCAATTTTACAGGGGACAGAGTAAGAGTTACAGACATGAATTTTCCTCACCTGACTTGTAGTAACCTTCGGTTGACATTGTTCCGCAAAGGAACTTATGTAGATTTTGCTTCTAGAACGTGAAGAAGCCATACATATAGAAGAAAGCAACTCGTCTATTCCCTTTCGAGGTTTATAGACTCAATCTCCTTCTCTCACAAGTGTATAAATAATTTTTCACTAATTTTCTCGGGCATTAACATTTACATTTGTGTACACATGCGAAAGTTTCGATGAATATGTAACACTATATCGCAATACACTCTTGACGTAACACTGTCAGTGCGTGACCTCAGGAAGATATCCCGTATTGTGGCATGAGTTTCTAGGTAAGACACATATGCAACAGTTAGGTATCTTTATTTCGAAACGTTTCGCCTACACAGTAGGCTTCTTCAGTCGAGTACAGAAAGGTTGATAGAAGCAGAAGATACTTGAAGACGATGTAATCAGTCCATCACCCTTAAAGTTTTGAGGTGGTCAGTCCCTCAGTCTGGAGAAGAGCATTGTTCCGTTGTCTGAAACAATATTGTTTCAGACAACCTTTCTGTACTCGACTGAAGAAGCCTACTGTGTAGGCGAAACGTTTCGAAATAAAGATACCTAACTGTTGCATATGTGTCTTACCTAACAATCTGTCGGTATTTCATACCATTTTAATGTTCATGAGTTTCTAGTTCAGCTGAATTTTTCATTTGAAGATTTGAAGTTATTCAGAAGAGGCATTCACGAGTTATCACATGGATACTAATTTCTAAATTTATGTTATATAAAGGGCAAAATACGATGCACACAGTCAAAAACTTTTTCAAACTTTCTACAATGAAAAAATTTGTTTTGAAATTGAACCGACAAAGAGTTTCCTTGCTATTACAGAGAGATCACTATCCTAAAATATACTAGCACATTAAGTCTGAAGCCACAGTCTCGAGTTGAAGCATTAAAAAACCTGTCCGATGAGAGGATATAAGTCCTGTTCCTTGAATTGATTTGAAACTGATTGACTAAGTTCCTTTCTTTTTGTGAGCGATATAAAAATAAAAATTTGGAGGAAGAAGAAAAAAGAAAAAGACAACATTAAGAAAAATAATTTAATTATCTAACACGTTCTTGCATTTTAGTGGTGAGATTCCATCGCAAGATCTCTCCCAGGGAAGTTTGTCAGCTGTGTGCTACTTTATATCAAATCAAATCAAATCAAGTTTATTCTCTATGAGGGTTACAATGTGGGGTTTACAGGATTTGGATATTGGGTAGTTTACATGTTATAAAATGCTAATTACAGAGAGGGCCACTAGGACACCTAGCATGGCTAGGCATTTCGGGCAGACTTAGATTAATTCTTAACATTAAATCCTTACAGATTATGGTATTAAGTCTAGGTGACTACATTATAATTTGTGAGTTTAGCAATGTGAATGTTTTTGTTTTAGCACAATACAAAGTGTCTATATTGGAGTATCATAGGCAAATATGACTAGTTAGGATTCATTATTTTAAGATTAAGATTAGTATTTCTGTGTTTTTTTATACCAGTGGGTGAGTGAGAGTAATTGTTAGTTGTCGGGGTGTATCAGGGAGATAAGATGTTTTCTAACTGTAATTTTGAAAGTGATGAGTGTGTCTGCAGTTCTAGAGTTTTCAGGTAGGGTGTTCCAGATTTTAGGTCCTTTGAAATACATTGAATTTTTGTAAAGGTTTAGTCGGACACGGGAAATGTCATAGAAATGTTTGCGTCTGGTGTTATGCCTATGGATCCTGTCACAACTATCAAGAAAGCGTTTTAGGTCAAGGTTAATATTGGAATTTAAGGTCCTGTACATGTAGATTGCTAGTAGTAAGTGTGGATGTTCTGAACAGGGAGTAAGTTTAGATCTATGAAGAATGGGGGAGTGTGTTGCCAGGGATGGGATTTAGTGATTATTCTTACTGCGGCTTTTTGTTGGGTTATTATTGGCTTTAGGTGTGTTGCTGCAGTTGAACCCCAAGCACAGATAGCATAGGTGAGGTATGGATATATAAGTGAATGGTATAGTGTGAGAAGGGCAGTTTGCGGCACGTAGTATCGTATCTTGGAGAGGATCCCCACCATTTTGGATACTTTTTTTATGTTTACCTGGAGTTTACCTGGACTATGTGTTGGATATGGGTGCTGAAGTTTAGGTTGTCGTAGAGGTATAGGCCAAGGAATTTGCCCTCATTATATCTGGCAATTAGAGTGTTGTCGATCTTAATGTTAAGTTGCGGAACACCTGCTCGGGTGCGCCGTCTTCTACAAACAAGAATCTGCTGAATTATTTTTTTTTACGCAGTTCACTGTTATTGTTTCAAAGTTATACCCCCATTTTGAAAATCACATTCCTCAGTGAAGCCAGAGAAATCAGTCGACGAACACCCGGATAACTTATTAATTGTTTAAGGAATAGGAACTACCGCTCGTTCAGCTTTGTATTCAAAAAAGGGAATTTTGGCTGTGAACCTAATGATTTAACCAACAACTACGTGAAAGACTGAAATTCTTCATTAGATTTTTAACAAGGGCTTTGGAGACCAAGAAAGAACATAAAGACAAAACTACTCTTCAGCAATCCAGTCACTTTATCAACACACAGCAGTGATTTAGAAACCTTGTTAACTGCTTGACTCAAAGCTTATGATAGGGATATTATTTAGTTTCTACTATTTATCTGTCATTTACCTCCACCTAAATCTGCGAGCAAGCATTCAGCCTCTTGAAGCTCAGTAAGTTAAAGATTTGAAATTGACTTAATGACATTTCACTATCAGTTCGGTGACTACCAACTATGAAATTTAATAAAAAAAAAAATACTGAAAGCTAGGATCAGAAATCACAGTTGGGAAACTTCTCTTTCAATGGTAACGATAATGATAGTCTCACTACATAAACTTAATTAAAATATATTATATGATTTTGTCTAAATTCCTGTGATCTGCTTAAAATGACCAACATTTATGATTCACTCTTTGGATGCTACTCCTGCTCAAGGATCAGTTTTCCCAAGTGACTCCAGCAGCGAGAAGGTTGTACATCCTTGCTGTAACTAACGATCTACTGTCGCTTCTTGCGTAACTGTCGCTCAATATTCAATAGAGTTATTGTACTTCATAGTGGAACAAATCACCATCTCATATAATTACTGTCATCTCTGATCTTCATTCCTTCAAGAAAGCTCTATGAATTTATGGGTATGTTTATACAATGCAACTTTATGTAGACTTCATTTATATACATGACAACTGAAATCTAAACTAGAAAATTTGCCTTCTCTGTGACCTATATAAAAATGACGTAATTAGGCAAATTCATCATGTACAACTAATGATAAAGGCGATTATATAGTAGTGGAAATCGAGCTAAATTAATAGTTACACGAGATCGTAAAAAAAAATGCATGGCCTCTAACCACCACGGACAACTACACATCAAAAGCAGGAGAGGAGAGAGTATCACTAACTATCACATTTTGGAAGGGAGAAACCATCATTTACAGCTACTAACCACCGCATAATTATTATCGACCACGAAATGTAACCACCACTAATAAAAGTTAACCAGCTCTTGCTCACCAAGAGAGGGAAGAAACTTCCACTTACACCTAGTAACCTTCACAGATCGACCACGAGAAGGAACAAACTATTACTTACACCCACAAATAATTACAAACCACCCACAAGAAATGAAAATAATTTACACAAGGATACCGTCAATTGAAAACCTTTCCCTGCTGCCAACCACCACAATTTTTATCCACAAAAGGAAGTAATGACCACTAATCTCTGTTAATCCCCCACAGATCGACCATGAGAAGGGAGAAACCACAGCTAGGCTGGTGGTGAATACAGTGAGAACTGACGACTCCGGGATGTACTCTTGTGTTCCACCGGGGTCACATCCAGCCTCTATTAGAGTACACGTCCACCAAAGTACGTCTAATATATTAGATTAAATGTTGTTGCTGAAGCGCCTGGTATAATATACTATCCATTTCCATCCTGTGGCGGTAACGTACAAGCACGTGAATAGCCATTTTGTAATAAATTACTAGCAAAGTACACTACAGAACGTCTGCATCTTTCACGGTACGTAATCATACCTAATGTACATTCACATCAGCTACTGCGTCTGCCGACCTGGGGTCTACCTGGAGGGTGTTTCAGGGGGGCGTTGACCCCCTGAGGCCTAATATGTGACCAGGCCTCCAGGTGAATCAGAGCCTGATCATCTAGGCTGTGTTACTCATTTTTATTACAATATACTAAAATGTAGATGCGCTGAGGTCTTTGCGTGATCGGAGAAAGATAACTGCAGTGCCTTGTGCCTTAGTGTACGAATTATAAAATGTGCAGGGCAGTCATAGCGTTCTAATATAGCAATATGTAAAAATGTGAATGTGTTTATGTATGTATGTTTCTGCATTTAAATGCACGTACAGCTTTGCGTATGGATATGTGCATGAGTATGTCTGTAGATGTTTATATACACGTGTATACTCATGTATGTATGTATGTATGTATACATGTATGTATATACGTATATATATATATATATATATAATATATATATATTATATAATATATATATATATATAATATATATATAATATATATATATATATATATATATATATATATATATATATGCAAAACAACCACTCTGAAAGAATAGAGAAATTCCAAGCGCTTTCGTGACTACTCACATTATCTCACATTATCATAGTTCCTTGATAATGTGAGTAGTCACGAAAGCGCTTGGAATTTCTCTATTCTTTCAAAGTGGTTGTTTTGCATATTTTGAAATCACCTGTTTACTGTGATCTTATTGCATATATATATAATATATATATATATATATATATATATATATATATATATATATACACACACCAGCCAAGCTACGTGTGTTACGCTTGGTCCGAGGACATACGGAGTTGTGGGAGCTTTCAAGATAATTTCATTCTCATCCCTTTTTGGTGAATTAGTCTACGAGAACCATATATATATTCATTATTGTAACCATGAGCGAGTGGTATTGATCAATAATAACAGTGCACTAACCAAGAATTCGAACCCATGTTGTACTGGCCCGCCATTGTGAGCGAGAACCACATGACGCCTTCAAAATCTGTTGTAAGACATTACTCGCTTACTTAGCACATCCAGCACGTCCTTCAGCAGTCACGGTAAGATTTTCTCTGACACAATTGCTTTCATTGTGTCTGGTTTAGTAAGGTTAATTACACATCCTCTTCCAATGATACTAATTGATATAGTCACATTTTCCCAGTTATTCTCCATTTTTTTTCAGTCTGCTTTGTTAATCATATGTCAGCATTTACCTCTGGATGTGATTATTGAATGATTTGTTTATTTGCTTACCGCGTAGAGAACTTTGGAAATGTTTCGCAGCATTAGCATTAATATTTTTGTTGGACTTATTGAGAGAAAAACCTGTAGGGGTAATACAGTGCCTCGATTCAGGGAACTGGAGCACAGGTTCGATTCCTTATAACAAGAATTCCCACACAAGAATCTCTACACAAGAATCCCCACACAAGAATCCTCACACAAGAATCCCTAAACAAAAATCCCTACAGAAAATTCCCAGCACAAGAATCCCCACACAAGAATCCCCACACAAGAATCCCTACACAAAAATTTCTACACAAAATTCCCAGCACAAGAATCCCCACACAAGAATCCCCACACAAGAATCCCCACACAAAAATCCCCACACAAGAATCCCCACACAAAAGAATCAAGGAACCTTCTTGAGGGGGATTCCTGGTATAGTATACAAATACTTAATCACTTTTACAGGACTTTTATTTATTGTTGAACACAGTCCTCTCCGCTTCTCCAATGCCTTCTTAATTAATATTCTTTGTTTCTTCTCATTTTCCTCTATATCGTCAATTATTAACGTGTTTTACGTCCTTGATATTATTACCTAGAATTAGTCGCCTAGTAACATCTGTGCACATATTTTATTATTTTTTATTATCACACTGGCCGATTCCCACAAAGGCAGGGTGGCCCGAAAAAGAAAAACTTTCACCATCATTCACTCCATCACTGTCTTGCCAGAAGAGTGCTTTACACTACAGTTTTTAAACTGCAACATTAACACCCCTAATTCAGAGTGCAGGCACTGTACTTCCCATCTCCAGGACTCAAGTCCGGCCTGCCGGTTTCCCTGAACCCCTTCATAAATGTTACTTTGCTCACACTCCAACAGCACGTCAAGTATTAAAAACCATTTGTCTCCATTCACTCCTATCAAACACGCTCATGCATACCTGCTGGAAGTCCAAGCCCCTCGCACACAAAACCTCCTTTACCCCCTCTCTCCAACCTTTCCTAGGCCGACCCCTACCCCGCCTTCCTTCCACTACAGACTGATACACTCTTGAAGTCATTCTGTTTCGCTCCATTCTCTCTACATGTCCGAACCACCTCAACAACCCTTCCTCAGCCCTCTGGACAACAGTTTTGGTAATCCCGCACCTCCTCCTAACTTCCAATCTACGAATTCTCTGCATTATATTCACACCACACATTGCCCTCAGACATGACATCTCCACTGCCTCCAGCCTTCTCCTCGCCAACATTCATCACCCCATGCGTCAACACCCATATAAGAGCGTGGTAAAACTATACCTCATACATTCCACTCTTTTTTGCCCCATAGGACACAGTTCTTTGTCTCCAACAGACTTCTAAGTGCTCCACTCCACTCTTTGTTCCCTCAGCATTCTATGATTCACCTCATCTTTCATAGACCATCCGCAGACACGTCCACTCCCCAAAAATAGCTGAATACAGTCACCTCCTCCCATACTCTCTCCCTCCAATCTGATATTCAATCTTCATCACCTAATCTTTTTGTTATCCTCATAACCTTACTCTTTCCTGTATTCACCTTTAATTTTCTTCTTTGCCACCCACCATATTCATCCCCAATCTCTGCAACTTCTCTCAGAATCTCCCCAAGAGCACATGTCCATCAGCAAAGAGCAGCTGTTACAACCCCACTTTGTGTGTGATTCTTTTATCTTTAACTCCACGCCTCTTGTCAAGACCCTCGCATTTTACTTCTCTTACAACCCCAGCTATAAATATAATTAAACAACCACACGGTGGACATCACACATCCTTGACTAAGGCCACTTTTCTTGGGAATAATTTCCCTCTTTCCTCATGAGCTCTAACTTGAGCCTCCTATCCTCGAAAAAACTCTTCACGGCGTTCAGTAACCTACCTCCTACACCATACACTTGCAACATCTGCCACAGTGCCTTGCCCCCCTTTCCTCCACCCTGTCAACGTCTTTTCCAATCCATAATGCCACATAGACCTCCTTTAAGTTAGCCTTATCTAAATACTGTTCCCACTTATAAGTTTCACTGTAAACACCTGGTCCCACACACCCCCTACCATTCCTAAAGCCTCCTTGATCATCTGCTATCCTATTCTCCCGTCTACTCTAATTCGTTCAATAATAACGCTACATACACGTTATAACCAGTATACTCAGCAGTGACTTTGTCCCCCTAATAATTGTTGCACCTCTCTTTTAGATCCCCCTTTGCCTTTATACAAAGGAACTATGCCATCTCTCTGCCAATCCCTAGTTACCTTACCTCTCTTCCCTACTTGATTTAACTTATTGCATGGACGGGGGGGGTGGGGGGGGGAGGGGGTGGGGGGTGGGTGGGGGGGGGGTGGGGGGCCACTGGGGGGGGTGGGCCAAAACTATATCCCACCTGCTTTTAAAAACATTTCTATCTTTTTCCCATCAATCCCGCTGCCTTACCCCTTTCATTACCTACTTCCTCCACGAACTTCCCCCCACACCTCACATCGCTCTATCTCACTCCGACAAGATTTATTCCTCCTTGCCCTATACACGAAATCACAGCTTCCCTATCTTTCATCACATTTAACAATTCCTCAAAATAATCCCTCCATCTTCCAAATACCTCTAAACACTCCATTTAATAAATCTCTCCTCCTATTTTTACTGACCTACAAATCCATTTGTTCTCGTAGGCTTTTCTTAACTTTTAATCTCACTCCAAAACTTTTTTATTTTTAAACAAAATTTGTTGATACACCGCACCCCACATCTCTCATTGTGCTCTCTTTACATTGCTTCACAACCACTCTCTTAACCTCTCTCGTTTTCTCCATATATTCTCCTCCTCATTCACTTCTATTTGCATCACTTCTACTCCTGTGCATCATGTATTTCCTCTCATGCTTTTCATTTTTCTTTCTTATTTCGATCCACGGAGTAAATTACTAAATGCTTAGACATGTATATTCCAAGATTGACTTGGAAGGTCTATCTCGCTGGTAATAAAAGAATCAAATTATGAAGGGTCATCACATCATTTCTCTTAGATTCTTTTGGATGACGTAACTAGGAAGTTCGTTGTCAGTGATCAACTATTTTTTTTCTCGGAAAAGCTCCCCTGAAACTCAGAATTTTTTTTTTTACATTTATGTGCACCCAGATTGCCTCACTCAGGAGAATTTTCGTCTTCTATTTTTCTGCTTCGAACATGATGACACATACCATTGAAATAATTTCTTAAGGAACATTATTGTCTTTTTCGTCGGTGCACAAGTATCCAATATTTTTTTTTTAGAAGTGACTGACATTAAAATATAAAAAAGTTTTTAAATTGAATTTTTCCTAAAGAATAGAATTTCCTACTTATATATATAAAAATATTATATATATTATATATATATATATAATAATTATAGATATATAATATATTATAAATATATATAGATATATATATTATAATAGATATATAATAATATAGATATAGATATAATATATTATATATATATATATATATATGTCGTGCCGAATAGTAAAACTGTCAATTACAAGAACTCATTAATATTAAGTT